GAAGTGGTTTGCCATTTCCTTCTCCAGCTCATTTTATAAATGAGGAACTGAGGCTAAGTGCTTAAATGACTTATCCAGGGTCACACAGCTAGTAAGTGTCTGAGGCTGGATTTTTTTTTGTTTGTTTGTTTTTAGGCAATTGGGGTTAAGTGACTTGCCTAGGGTCACACAGCTAGTAAGTGTCAAGTGTTTGGTTTGAGGCCAGATTTGAACTCAGGTCCTCCTGATTTCAGGGCCACTGCTCTATCCATTGCACCATCTAGCTGCCCCCTTTTGTTTTGTTTTGTTTTGTTTGAGGCTGGATTTGAACTCATGAACATGAGTCTTCCTAATTCCAAGCCCAGCGCTCTATCCACTGCACCAGCTAGCTGCTATTCAGTGTCCATTACTGATTCTTCATCTGTGTCACATGCAGAAACCATGGTTATCCCTGAAGGCTCTGTCCTGGACCTTCTTTTTTTGCTGTACACTATTTCACTAGATAATCTCATAAGCTTCTATGGGTTCAATTATCATTTAATTTGTCATTTAATTATCATATCATTTATCAATTATGGTCCCCAGATCTATAAATCCAGCCTTGGGTTTTCTGCTGAGCTTTAGTCACACTTTGCAAATGTCTTTTGGACAGCTTAAACCATGTGTCCTTACAGGCCACTCAAACTCAACATGCCTTCTAAATCATAGCTCATTATTTTTCTTCTCCAGCACTAAACCATTATCCATTTTGAATATTTTTATTATGTTTGAGGATACCACCTTCCCCCAGTCACCCAAGCTTGTAACTTCAGTGTTGTCATCAACCTCTCACTTTCAACCCACATATCTAATTCATGTCATCAAATCTTGTCATTTCTACCTTCACAATATTTTATGTATACATTCTCTTTTCCACTTATACTTTTACCATGCTACTTCAGGTTCTCATTCTCTTTTTCCTGGACTTCTGCAATCACATCTAATTGGTCTCCCAGTCTCAAGTCATTCCTGACTCCAATTCATCCTCCACTGAGCTGTCAAGTTGATTTTTCTAAAGCTTAGTTTTGATCATGCCATCTCATCATGCTCACTGGAGTTCCTGTAGCTCCCTATTCCATAATTAAATATAAATTACTCTTCTGACATTTAAAGCTCTTCAAGACATGTATTCTTCCTATCTTCCTAGCTTTCTTATACTTTATGCCCTTCCACACACAACCCAGTACCCTCCACAAAGTACAAGCCAGTGACACTGGCCTTCTTGCTATTTCTTACATAAGATACTCCACTTCCCACCTTTATACCTTTGTACTGGAAGTCCATCACATCTGGAATGTTCTGCTTCACCATCTCTCCCTTAGCTACCCTGGTTATCTTTAAGACTCAGCTGAAATGCCACCTTTATGGAAGTCTTAATCAGTTCTCCTAGCTGCAAATGCCTTACCTTTTCACATTACCTTTTATCTATTCTGTACATATCTCATATGTACCTAGTCTTTGCATGTTGTCTCCTCCATCCGAATGTATACTCCTTGAAAACTGGGACTGTTTTTTGCCTTTCTTCATATCCTCAGTGCTTAAAACAGTGCCAAGAACATAGTAAACCTTGATAAATTCTTGATGATTGACTTGCATGTAGGTACCAACTCCCTATGAGTCATTTTCGTTTTTTCCTTTCTAGTGCCAAAATCAATTTCCTTGGCAAAACAACAACAGATGTGAACTAAGAACTCATTAGCTCTGCCTTTTTCCCCATGATTAGTTTTGTCCCATCCAACCTAAACAGCTACAATACCATACCTTCTTTGACATTTTTTCAAAATAAACTAAAAATACCCATCCTTTTTATTTGTGTTAGCTTTCCTTATTAATATCAGCTCATTGTAAGCTTTAGTACTCCCAACAATCAATCAATCAACATTTATTAAGCATCTACTGTGTCCCAAGCACTATGCTAAGTGCTAACACTATTCTTATAGCACCTTTCCATGCTTTTATGTCACTCTTTTGTTGCCTGTTCTGATTTGCAGTTTCTGTATGTCTTTTTGATTGATAAGTCTTAGAAGGAAAAGATCTTCCATGTCCCCTGTATGACTCTAAACATTGGGCTATAAGCCAGAGTGTGGTTATCTATGTTGACCTGAGAATTTAGCCAGTTTTCAGGAGATGTGCTCCGGGAACCTGGCCAGTTCCTGGACCAAGTAAAAACATCTACTAGAATCATGGACATCTCTGGCATGGGGCCTTCTTTGTTAGAGGCCCTATTTAAATCCTGATTGGGAAAGCCAACTTTGGATTCTCACCCATGGAGAGGACGCTCTGCTTGGGACTTTCCCAATCGGCACCCTGAAATGTACCCTGGGAATCCCCAGCTTGGACTTCAGGTGTTGGTGCTTCCCTGCATTGGTGATGTTTTCTTATTGCTATCCTTTGTATTCGTAGCCTGACTATAGTCGTATTGCTAATTGCATGTTGCTGTGAATCTACCTGTTCTATACTTACATTATAATCTTAATTAAAGCTACCTTCACTTCTCTCTCTAGGAGTGTGTCTTATTGTAGGAGCAAATCCGAACCACATTTTTTTCTTTCTTAATCACACATTTTTAAAACTCAAAGTTCATTGGTATGTTCCCTGTGAATCCATGTCAGTTTATCTTAATAAAATTTGAGCATACCTTTGCTTTTCATACTATAGTAATTTCTAAGTGTAACTCCCTTGCCAGTGCATAATCTATTCCCACCTTTGTGACAGAGAAAGCCATTTGAGCAAAGCCTACAAGACAGTGGCCCCATCTGCCAGCATGTACCATATACCACATTTCTTATAGTGCCATTATGTTTCATGATTATGTGAACATGTCATGCTCTGTTGAGTTATTCCTCAATTGAATGGAATCTGTTTTGTTTCTACACTTTTGATACCACAAAGTGCTGATGTTGATATTTTGGTATACATAGGGATTTTGTCTCTGACCTCTTTCATATATGTACAATAGTGGGATTGCTGGGTAAAAGGGAGAATAGTTTAATCATATTTCTCATAGTATTCCACACTGTTTTCCATAGTGCTTGGACCAATTTACAGCTCCACAAATACTACATTAATTAGTGTGATTGTAATAGAATTTTATTATAGTGCTTCCTTGGGGATGAGTGGTAGAAGGTCCCTTATACCTGCATATCAGAAAAGGTGCACGTATCCTCTGAATGGTTCCAGATGGTCATAATGAATCTTTTGGCTACTGAGATGATTGATTGTTGTGCTTTATTTTTGAAAAGGACAAAAAATAACATCATTATGTTAGAGTCAAGGTATAGTGTGTTTGACAGTGGCTGATTGGACCAATATAAGCTCAGAAGGCTCCACCACAGGTTGGGCACAAATGGTCCATATGAACATTTTGGAGTGGAGATGTCTCTAAATTTGTGCAACTCCTAAGTTTCTTTTGAGCTACTGCAATTCTGCTTTGCTGATACAGTATCTTCTTTGATGCAGGCACACCATGCTGGGTGACTGTGCTAGTGTCTCCCATGTCTCACAATCAATTCTACTGAGACAAAACTCTGTGGATATGCTAAAGGGGCAATCTCTACCCCTAAAGCCTCTTCCTCTTTCTGGCTTTGAATGGTAAGGACAATTAACTCTCTGAAGTCTAGAATATTGGTGAGTCGCCTGCTCTCCCCAATACTGGGCTGCCATGAATGCACTGACTTCTAAGCAGACCTGTTCCTGGGATGGAGTTGCCTTCTATTTGTGTCTTCTTTCTTTAATACAAGATATGTAAGGTTTTGAAAGACAGCTGGCATCTTTATCTTCCTTGGCTCTGAAACAGTAGATTATTTGGAGGGTTACTTAGAGAGCGGGGAGAGATATCATCCAAAGATATCCACATGTTTCTGATTAGGCTATACTCAGTGAAGTTGAAACGTAAAACAGCTCATAAGCAACTCTCAGAAACTGTTTGCAAATGACTCAACAAGATTTGAATATTAGTTAATTGTAATCATTCTATGATTCTTTATTGCTTTGCATCCCCTTTCTGTGTGGGAATAAAACTGACTCTTCCACACCTGATTTATAATTATACTCTCATTTTCATATCCTCCTGCCATGCTGGAGAGTATTCATTAGACTAGAGTCTCACAAATCTGAGGTAGGGGTGGAACTGAAACACTTGAAGCCTAGTTCATCTCTTGAGAAGACAACCAATCCCAGAGCAATGAGCTTAGAGTGAATCTAGAGGGAAGGGAAGGGAGAATGTAGAAGGTAGACTGAGATTGGTGAAGGTCACTAGCCCCTGTATCGATAAGCTAGAGGTGCTGAGCTCACTGCAAAACTAGGATAGCATCATAGATCACAATTTCACCAACATAGATTATTTCCATCTTCTAACATCTTTGTGGAGAGGCAGCTTGCTGTAGTGTATATAGAGTTGGTTTCCAAACTCAGAAGATGTGGGTTCAAATCCATCTATAACCCCTATTGGATGTATTAGCCTAGGCATATAATTTATTCTTTTTCTCCTTCTTAGGTTCAAATCTCACATGGGACACATATTTGCCATATGACCTTGGTTAAGTCACTTAACTTCTTAGTGCCCCTTGAAACTCTCCAAGTTGGATTTTTTAAACCTTTTTTGAGTCATGGGCTCCTTTAGCAGCCTGGTGAAGTCTATGAATCCCTTCTCAGAATGTTTTTTACATTCATAAAATAAAATCCATAGAATTACAAAGGAAACCAATCATACTGAAATAGTTATAAAAATTTTATAGAACCCTCGCTCTAAGACAACAGGTTGCAAAACGTTTGTGAATCTGCATTGGTCGAGTCTTAACCTGGTGCTTCATACACTGATGACATCTTAATTCTGGACAAAAACAGACAAACACACTTTGATAGACAAACACAGAGTTTTCTTCCTCTCTGACTTACCTTGTTTAACTTACTATGTCTTACCAGCTAATTTTTCTTTTTTCTTAAAACTTTTCTTCTTCAGTTTGATTCATTCTTCTTCAGCTCAAGTTTTTCTTCTCCTTGATTTTTAAAAAATATTTATTTAGCATTTTATTTCCACTCAATTACATGTAAAAAAAATTAACATTTGATTTTTCAACATTTTGATTTCCAAATTCTTTCCCTTTCTCTGTTCCCTCCCTACTCATTAAGAAGGTAAACAATTTGATACAGGTTATACATATGCAGTTATGCAAAACATATTTCCATATTAGTCATGTTATAAAGAGAACATAGACCCAGAAAAACCCCAAGAAAAATAAAGTAAAAAAAGTATGCTTTGATTTGCTTCCAGACTCCATCAGTTCTTCCTCTGGCTAGTATTCTCATTGTTAAATCATTTGGAATTGTCAGATCATTGTTTTGCTGGGAGTAACTAAGTCATTCACAGTTGATCATTGCACAATATTGTTATGTACAATGTTCTCCTGGTTCTGCTTACTTCACTTTGCATCAATTCATATAAATCTTTCCAGGTTTTTCTGAGAGCATCCTGCTCATCATTTCCTATAATAGCACAATAATTTTCCATCATAATCATATAACATGACTTGATCAGGCATTCCCCAACTGATGGGCATTCCCTCAATTTCCAATTTTTTCCCACCACTAAAAGATCTGGTATAAATATATTTGCACATTTAAGTCCTTTTCCTCTATGTTTGTTTTAAATCTCTTTTGGGGATACAGACCTAGTAGTGGTATTGCTGGGCCAAAGAATAAGCACAGTTTTATGGACCTTTGGGCATAGTCCAAATTGCTCTCCGGAAGGGCTGAATCAGTTCACAGCTCCACCAACAGTGCATTAGTGTCTCAATTTCCCCACATCCCTTCCAACATTAGTCATTTTCCTTTTCTCTCATATTAGCCAATCTGACTGGCGAGGAGTAGTACCTCACAATTGTTTTAATTTGCATTTCTTTAATCAATAGTGATTTAGAACATTTTTTCACATGACTATAGATGTCTTCAATTACTTTGTCTGAAAACTGCCTGTTCATATCCTTCAACCATCTATCAATTGGGAAATGGCTCTTATTTTTATAAATTTGACTCAGTTCTTTGTATATTTGAAAAATGAGGCCTTTATCAGAGGTACTTATTTAAATTTTTTTCAAAGTTATGATTACTAACTTTATTTTCCTAGATTTTATTTCTTCCTATTTATCCTACTCTCTCCTTTCAACCTGTTCTTCCTCAAAAGTGTTTTGTTTCTGACTACTGCCTTTCCCAATCTGTCCTCCCTTTTATCAGCACCCCATCCTTCTCTTATCCCCTTCCCCTCCTACTTTCCTGCAGGTTAAGATAGATTTCTATACCCAACTGAGTGTGTATGTTATTCCCTCTTTGAGTCAATTCTGATGAAAGTTCAAATGCTCTTACCCACCTCCAACATCTCCCCTCTCCACTGTAAAAGCCTCTCTTATGTGAAAATTTACCCCATTCTACCTCTCCCTTTCCCCTTCTCACAGTTCATCCCTCTTTCTCACTCCTTCATTTTATTTTAAAAGATCATCCCATCATATTCAACTCATATCCATGTCTTCTGTCTATGTATACTCTTCCTAACTGTCCCAACAATGAGAAAGTTCTTAAGAGTCATAAGTAGCATCTTTCCATGTAGTAATATAATCAGTTAAACCTCAGTGGATTCCTTATGATTTCGCTATTCTGTTTACCTTTTTATGCTTCTCTTGAGTCTTGTATTTGAAAGTCAAATTCTCTATTCAGCTCCGGTATTTTCATCAGGAAGGCTTCAAAGTCCTCTATTTTGTTGAATATCCATTTTTTCCCCCAGAAGGATCATATTCAGTTTTGCTGGGTAGGTAATTCTTGGTCATAATCCAAGTTTCTTTGCCCTCTGGAATATCATATTCCAAGTTCTCTAATCCTTTGATGTAGAAACTGCTAAATCTTGTATTATCCTGACTGTGACGCCACAATATTTGGTTTCTTTCTGGATGCTTGCAATATTTTCTCCTTGACCTGGGAGTTTGGGAATTTGGCTATTATATTCCTGGAAATTTTCATTTTGGGATCTCTTTCAGGAAGTGATTTGCTGGATTTTTTCAATTTTTATTTTACATTTTGGTTCTAGAATATCAGGGCCGTTTTCCTTGATAATTTCTTGAAAGATGATGTCTAGACTCTTTTTTTTGATCATGGCTTTCAGGTAGTAAAATAATTCTTAAATTATTTTTCCATGTCAGTTGTTTTTTCAATGAGACTTCACTTTTTTTCATTCTTTTGATTTTGTTTTATTGCTTCTTGATGTCTCATCATCATTAGTTTTCATTTGCACAATTCTAATTTTTTAAAAAAATTATTATCTTCATTGAGCTTTTGTATCTCCTTTTCCACTTTGCCAATTCTACTTTTTAAGGTGTTCTTTTCTTCAGTGAATTTTTGTTCCTCTTTTCCCATCTGGCCAATTCCGCTTTTTAAGGCATTTTTCTCTTCATTGGATTTTTGTGCTTCTTTTACCATTTGGCCTATTCTCTTTTTAAAGGTGTTATTTTCTTCAGTATTTTTTGTGCCTCTTTTACCATCCTGTTGACTCTTTTTTCATGATTTTCTTGCATCATTCTCATTTCTTTTCTCAATTTTTCCTCTACCTCTCTTATTTGATTTTTAAATTATATTTGAGCTCTCCTAGCAATTCTTCTTGTGCATGAGACCAATTCACATTTTCCTTTGGGTGTCAGTTTTAACTTTGTTTTCTTCTTCTGAGTTTGTGTTTTGATCTTCCCTGTCACCATAGTAACTTTCTATGGTCAGGATCTTTTTTTCTTGCTGTTTGCTCATTTTCCAGCCTACTTCTTGACTTTTAGCTGTATGCTAAAGCTGGGCTGTGCTTGCTGGGTGGAGAGGACACTGTCCCAGGCCTCAGGGTTTTTTTTTTTTTGTGCAACTATTTCCAGAGCTAGTTCTGGGATTCTGTAAGCTTTCAGTTATTCCAAGGTGATATCATCTAAGGAGAGGTGTATTTCCTAGTCTCTGACCTCTACTCTGGTCTGTGAGTGACCGCAAGCACTCTTTTCTGCCCTGAAACTGTAATGAGAGTCCTTGGCTGCAAGCTCTGGTTTGCTAGTGTTCCTCTTCAGTCTGTGACTGTGATCGAGGACTGTGACTTGGATCCAAGTATGGGAAAGGCAACAGAGTCCTGCATCTAGTGACAGCAAAGAGACCCTGTAATCTCCTTCTGTGCACATGTCCCACCCTTTTACCATCCGTGAGCTGAGAGCTCTGGAAGCAGCTGCTGCCACTGCTGATTCAGTCACTCCCAAAGCCTGCTGCTGGTTTCCTATGGCACAGCCTGTACCCTTACAGCCTGCATGGGGCTGTGCTACACTCTCACTCTGATGCAACAGACCTTTCCTGCTGACCTTCTAAGTTTTCTTGGGGTGGCAAATTGTTTCACTCAATCCTTTTGTGGGTTCTGATGCTCTAGAATTTGTTTTGAGGCACTATTTAAAGTTGTTTGGAGGGGAATTTGGTAGAGCTCAGGTGAGTCTTTGCCTTTTCTCCTCTGTGTTGGCTCTGCCCCTTCCTTCTCCTTTTTAAAAAAAATTTATTTTCACATTAGTCATGTTGTAAGGAAGAATTAGAACCAATAGGAGGAACCACCAGAAAGAAGAAACAAAACAAAACAGAAGAAAAAAATAGCAAATAGTATGCTTTGATTGGCATTCAAACTCCATAGTTCTTTCTTTGGATGTGGATAGCATTTTCCATCATGAGACCTTTGGAGATGTCTTAGATCCTTGCATTGCTAAGAAGGGCTAAGTCTATCAACGTTAGTCATTGCACAATGTGGCTGTTACTGTGTACAGTGTTCTGGCTGGTTCTGCTCACTTCACTCAGCATCAATCCATACAAGTCTTTACAGGTTTTTTTGAAGTCTGCCTGCTCACCATTTCTTATAGCATAGTAGCATTCCATCACATTCATATACCACAACTTGCTCAGCCATTCACCAATTGATGGGCATCCCCTCAATTTCTAATTCTTTGCCACCATAAAAAGAGCTGCTATAAAATTTTTTTGTACATGTGGGTCCTTTCCCCACTTTTATGATCTCTTTGGGATATAGCCCTAGAAATGCTATTGCCGGGTCAAAGGGTATGCACATTTTTAAAGCCCTTTGGGCTTTGCTTTCTAAAATGTTTGAATCATTTCATACCTCTACCAACAATGCATTAGTGTTCCGATTTTCCCACATCTTCTCCAATATTTATCATTTTCCTGTTTTGTCATGTTGGCCAATCTGATAGGTGTGATGTGGTACCTCAGAGTTGTTTTGATTTGCATTTCTCTAATCAATAGTGATTTAGAGCATTTCTTCATATGACTATAGATGACTTTAATTTCTTCATTAAGAACTGCCTGTTCATATCCTTTGACCATTTATCAATTGGGAATGCTTGTTCTTAAAATTTGACTTAATTCTCTACATATTTTAGAAATGAGCCCTTATCAGAGACACTGGTTGTAAAAATTTTTTCCCAATTCTCTACTTCCTTCCTAATCTTGGTTGCATTGGCTTTGTTTGCGCAAAACTCTTCAATTTAGTGTAATCAAAATTATCTATTTTGCATTTCATAATGTTCTCTATCTCCTGTTTGGTCATGAATTCTTCTGTTCTCCATAATCTGATAGGTAAACTATTCCTTGCTCTCCCAGTTTGCTTATAGTATCAGCCTTTATATCTAAATCATGAACCATTTTGACTTTATTTTGGTATATGGTGTGAGATTTGGTCTATGCCTAGTTTCTGCCATACTCTTTTCCAGTTTTCCCAGCATTTTTTCAAAAGTGAGTTCTTATCCCAGAAGCTGGGGTTTGGGTTTATCAAATATAGATTACACAGTCATTGACTACTGTGTCTTGCATATTTAACCTATTCCACTGATCCACCACTCTATTTCTTAGCCAGTACCAAGCAGTTTTGATGATTGCTGCTTTATAATACAATTTAAGATCTGGATTGCTAGGCCACCTTACCCTGCATTTCTTTTCA